CAATGGCCGGGTCTGTGGTGCGCTTTGTTCCAGCCTCCCCTAGCCCGGATTGACCCCACATCGCCCCCCTACCAGCGCCAACATTTGCCCGGGCTAGTTTCCTTGGCAGACCCCCGATCCTTACGTCTCTGCCTCTGGCTCGACTGTGCAGGTAAATGAGGGCACCATGTTGAACCCAAGGAGAAAAGTCATATTTCCTTCGATTCCAGCTTCAGATCAAAAACAAAAAAGCCTGCCTAATAAGCAACACTCAAACTCGCGCTTAGAGTCGACGGGCTCATACACATCTACATATTCCTCAGTGAAATGAGAAAAGGGAGCAGCTGATTTTAATGGTTGTTTTTTCTTTCGCTCTATCTGATAGACTTTAAACTGCATGTTTTACCGAAATTTCATTTCACTTGGCCGCTGTCTCCCCTCCCCCAAGAAAGCTGCCTTCTGGCATGAGTGTTTTTAGAATTGTTTTTTCTTTTCCCAATCTGGAATTTTTTTCCTCTGGCTTCAGCCTAAATCGCACGCAGAAGAACGAAGACACATCCACAAACTTAAGAGGGGGAAAAAAATAGAAGGAAAAGAAAATAGTCCACGTAAACAAGAAAGACTGCTGTTCGAGGCCCTGACTGCAGCAAACCCCAAACGATCTCATTGCAGGGCGCCCACGAAATCCCGGCTATAATTGAGTGTTTTCTTTGAGGTTTCTGACCATGTGCTTTTTACCATGGTTACTATGACTCTGATACGAGAAGCTGGATATTCATTATGACCCCATCCCATCCTTTCCCCAAGGCTTATCTTCCTGGTCCTTATAAAGGAGAATATAACGGGGGGATTTTGTGCCAGTGATTTTAACCTGCCCCACCTTCCAGTGACCTGCCACATGCTCCTTCTTACTTTATAGACATCTGGGAATTCCATACATGCCTTAAACTCCAATTACACACCTTCTTCAAAGGACACGTGCTTTGATTTGCTAAGAACATTAAGTGGGCTCACGTCCTGGGGCCTTGAGACAAAAGCGAATGGAAAATGTATTCCAAGCCCTGTTCACTGGGTCTATCTTTCTGTTCAGTAAATAAGGATAATTAATAACCATGGTTGCATTTTCGAGGGCTCAGTTTCGAGGTTTCTGGGAAAAAGTGAGGTTGCCGGCTTTAAGAAATTATCAGGAAACCGATTTCTCCTTCCACTTTGCCGGTGCACTTTCCTTCCACTTTCGCTGGTGCTGGGGGTGGGGCACGCTTTACGACACACAGGCAGAAAATTCTGGAAAAGTGGCCCCCGGGGATCCCCCTCTCGACCCGTTTGTTGCTAACGCGGGGCTGTCTCTGGAAATTTGAGGCTGGGCCTTTGCCTGACTCTTGCTGCTGCTCCCCTTGCTACCGCTGACACTTGGAGCCACCGCCTCCGCGCAGCGGCCCGACGCGGGCCGGGGCGTCCACGCCGGGCGGGCAGGGCACGGGCCTCGTCACTGCCTTGGCGGTGCGGGGCTGCCGCCACCCACGCAGGGAGGCTGGGCCCGTGCCCCCTCCTGCGCCCGCCGCAGGTGAGACTCCCGCTCCCCACGGAGTTCTGTTTGGGTTTCCGTGGCGTTTGTTCCCTACAGGTTTGTTTGTTTTTCTTCAAATTACAGATGCAGGGAAAACCGCCTGACATCATGAGAGCGGGACAAACGCTCACTTTGAAGGATTCCTGGGCAGGACTTCAAGTGAAATCATATGCCTGAGAAGAACTTGATACCGGTCTAGAGAAAATAACCAGTTCTGAGTTTGCCAAACCGTGGAATGTGCAAAATGCTCGACTTTTTTGCAAGAGGCCAAGTGTCCCTTAAAAAGCTCCATTATAAATATGAGCCTGAAGACGGAAGGAGCAAGAAGCTTGTGCCTTTGTTGAGTGTGGGAAAAAGTACACACATTGTGTGAGTTTCTGCTACTTAACCTTATTTTACTAATATGTTCCACTTTGGGGAAGGTACTTGCAACTGTGCATGAATTATCATCTGTGCACATCTGTGCATTGCTTAGCAAGTGTGTGCATAAAGAGGGGAAATGTGTGAATATGGGAACAAAAAGTTACTGCTTTCTTATGACTGAAGGCTATCAACCTAACGAAATTAAAAGCAAGATTAAAAGAAACTTATGTGTACAGTAAAGGAAACATTCTTAATTGTTTAGAATTCACCCAAGACAATTTAATACAATACTTTCCCTCCAGTGAATACATTCTGGCGAAAGGGTAAAGACTTTGAGGTCCAGGCACCACATTAAATTCTCACTTCTGTAACAGAACGAATTCATTCTAAGTGTCCTTTAAATAAGAATAGGTAGCAAAAATAAAATGAAAAAAAAAAGAAAACAGGAACTAATGGGAGAGAGAATAGAAACACAGGTAGCGTTATTCCTATTCTAAAAAGAATTAGCATTGTCATGGGTACAGTGGGGGGAGAGGGGGAGGCTGGGAATATAGAAATAGTATGCAAGTTGAAAATTGTATTCTAATACTTAATATTTTCCACCGTGAATTCTTCTCATTCAAAGTAAAACTATTCACCACTTTTCTTTCATTCGTTTATTTCTCTAAAAATCTAGGGGAAAATATTACCTTCAGCTTAGTATTTAGTATTACTCAACATAAATGCGGCATTTGCTTTTCTCCGAAAGTATTTTCTCTTATGAGAAAAGTGGAAAGAACAAAACACCAAAAAAAAGAAAAAGAAAAAGAAAAGGCAAATGGAAGTCTACCTTTTTTTTTTTTTAAACTTCTAGTTTTTACATCATCAGAGTTAAGACAGAGATTACCTTCTCAGCAATGATGGTCAGCTCCATCCTGATGTACGTCAAGAAATCTGAAATATCAAATAGTCAGACCAAGCTGGTGAACAAGGAGATTCCTCCACGAATAATTTAGAAAATGGAGGTGGTTGGATGATACACACAAAAGAAAGAATTACCATCTTCATGCTCTCCCTCATACTTCTAGGGCACCCTCCTTACATTTCTACCCTACACACATGCACAACCCCCGCAAATACACCCACATGCTGCAAATACACCCACACATAATCACATTCCCGTCTCATTATTTGGTAAAGGACTATCAAAATGCAAAAATTAATTCCCCAAGCCTTCACTAATCTTTTGAAATAAGTAAATGATACTGGCTCCTTATTGTAAAATATTGTCTAAAATATTCACAATAATAAATTTGCAGTATTGTTATGTCAGCATTCTATGCTGATGGGTGGAAAGGGAAACAAAAACCTTCAGGCCATATAATAACCTCAACCTGAGCTGAGCAAACATGATCTGTTTCGATTCATACACTTATTTGTCATAGTCATTGTTTGAATTAGGCAGCAAAATTATTTTCCAGTTTGAAAACTTCCCTAATTACATTTGAACGTAGTAAACTGGATGTAAAAGAACTGAGCGATAGAAACTCACTTTCTAATGATAATAATTATAAATGCCAATATTTTCCTGGCCCAGAAATAACCAGAATGAAATAAAAATCAAGCACCATTTGTCCCTGTTACTGTTTTACTTAACTTCATCAGATTTTGTATACATACAAGTAACCAAGAAAAATTCTGTGCAATTTGGGATAATATATATTTGCTAATGAACTGACTAGAAAATGAGTAGCTATAGCATTTAAAGTTGTAATTGTTCGAATAGATACCGAGGATCCTGAAAGTTCAGATTCTTTGTTTACTGTATTTTACTCCATAGCTGTATGTTCCTTATACATATGGAAGAAGCATGCTTCTCAAATGGGTAACAACATGGGAAGATAGTCTTAACTTTGGCTTTTCTTTTTAGCAAACATGGCACTAAATGTCATTTTCATTCATGAAAGAAGAGTTAAGCAAATTACTTTACAAACGGAATTCTCTTTCCTGCTGAATTAAGCTTTATTATTTTCCATGCATTTGTATTCATTTATATGTGTGTATACATCATTTTACTAACACTTTATCCATCCTTTCACTGAAATGAAACTATCACTTAAAAATCCTCACAAAGAGTAGAGGGCATGACAAAAATACACAGTAACAAGAGACAATAGTTTTGGCTTCATGCTGCTGGGTTGCAGTTAACTGTTTTACAGCTGCCTCCTTAAAATATAAGCAAGAGAGGTGAGTAACAAATTAAAGTTTTTGCTGGTTGAGGACCTGATAAGAGATGGAGAGATGCTGCTAAGCCCACTGGACACCTAACTGCAAGAATAATAAAGCTGTCTTTCTAAATAACGTGCCTGTGCCTGTCAGCTAGTTTATTTGAGATTTTCCCTGCTTTGTTTATATTAGAGCCCCCTCCCTCCTGGGTGCCTACAGAGTTAAACAAGCAGGTATTTACCTCCAACTTAATCCTGAGCTTTAAAAATATAGACCAAACTCTAAGGTTCTTAAAATTTTCAATCATATTTATTTATTGCAGAAAAATAATATACAAAGATATTTACAAAACAATCATAAAAATATGAATGCATTTAGACACCGGATCTATTTGCATTTTACCATGGGTCATCAATAAATAAATAGAATGTTGTTTTTTGTATTTTAAGTTTTTTTCCCTCAGAGGAAGAATGAAAAAAGGAATTAACTGACTGTGATTCTGCAAGTCAGTTTGATCCCAGTATTTTTATTTCTAAAGATGTTCTTAAAATTCCTCTGATTGTTACCATTTTAAAATGGAGAAAGTCCATAATGATGCCTTTCCTTTCAGTGGCTGATTGGCACGACCTCTTGAGAATGCATGCATGAAAAAATAAAAATAAAAATATTCTTCGTCAAAAAAAAAAAAAAAGGAACACAAACAACTGTTCAGACTTCTATCAGAATGTAGAGGTGTGAGGATGGTGCCGCTGCCCGTCTGGGAATCACTGTCCACGGGCCTGTCTCGCTTTCTCTTTTAAAAGTGCGCCCCACGCCCTGTTTCTTTGAATTTGGGTCTGCTCTTCTAATTTCCAAGAAAATCTTTGGCATATATATTTATTTTTAGTTATCCAGCTCCAGAGTCTCTAGACTGTCCATTTTCTCCTTCTCTGGAAACAATGACATCTGCAAAAACCCAGAGGGGGGAAAGTTGGTTATTGTTTAGGTCTCTGTGGCTGTTTTCTAAGACTAGCGAGCACTGTTCTTATCACCACCACCGAGAAATTACGCCGAACAACCTGGAAGGATTTCAGCCCAAGGGCAAGAGGAAGTGGGTGGGCGGAAAGGAGGAGGAGGTGGAATTTGGAAACATTTGTTTTAAGGAGAACGAAAACTTAAAAGCCAAAAGAAAGGGAGGCGCTTGCAAGACTGTCCTCACCCAGGACCCTCGAATCTTTCTCAGTCTTCCCTGCTGTCTGTCACGCACACTCACGCACACACACACCCCTCACAAGAGCGCATCCCTCTCTCCCTAGCCGGGACCGAACTGCCTTCCAGGGACGCTCGGGGGATGAGGTGGCGGTGCCAGGTTGGGTGGGGAAGCTGAGAGGGGGAGGAAGGCGAGGTGGACAGGGAGCCGCGGCCTGGCCGTCAGTCCGTCTGCCACCTGAGCGGCGAAGGGGCGCAGAGGCGCCGGTCCTTACCTAGGTCTCCGGCCCTGCCGAGGGGGTGGGGAGCTCCGCCTGCTAGTGGGACGCGGACATGGACCAGGCCCCCTCCATCCTCCAGACCGAGAAGGCGTAGCTGAGCCGCTCGTGGGCCACATAGCTGCAGCTTGCCATCTTGGAGTCCAGCTCGTCGCTCTGGAGGACCTGGTAGAGGAAGTCGATGTACCTGGCCGCCAACTTGAGGGTCTGGATCTTGCTCAGCTTGTCCGAGGGCAGCGTGGGGATGATCTTCCGCAGCGCGGCGAACGCCTCGTTCAGCGACTGCGTGCGCTGGCGCTCCCGCACGTTGGCCATGACCCGCTGCGTCTGCAGCTCCTCGTAGGACTGCGGGCTCCCGCCGCCGCTGCTGCTGCCGCCGCCGCCCGCGCCGCCGCCGCAGCCCGCAGACTTCTTGCCGCGCTTGCCCTGGGCCGGGCTGCCAGGCTCGTCGCCGCCTCCGACGCCCCCGCCCGCGGCCCCGCCGGGCCCCGCGCCGCCGCCCGCGCTGCGCCGGCTGCTGCGCCGCTTGCGCCCCCCGCGCTTGCCGCTCGGTGGCTGCTGCCGGTCCGGCTCCTCTTCGCTGTTGCTCAGGCTGTCGTCGGCCGGCGAGACTGGAGAGCTGGACACGTCCTGCATCATCTCTCGGGCGGCAACGCGCGGCCTCGCGGGCCCGGGGCAGAGGGGCGGCCCGGGTAAGAGGAGGAGAGAGGGGCGCCTCAGCCCGCCAGTTTCCCCCGCGCGCGGCGCCGGCCCGGGCGGTGCGGCCCGCCGAGGAGGGAGCGGGAGGAGGGACGGGGAGGATCTCCGCGGGGAGGGCGCGCGGGGGAGGCGGGGAGGGAGGCGGGAGGGGGAGGGGACGGTGTGGATGGCCCCGAGGTCCAAAAAGAAGGCGCCCAACGGCCGCACGCACACCCCGCTCGGCCTCCTGGAAAGGCTGCCGATGCCGGCGAGCCCGCGAGGTGTCTGGGAGTTGGGCGAAGGCTGCACACTTGGAGGCTCTTATACCTCCGTGCAGGCGGAAAGTTTGGGGGCAGCAGTGTCATTGGCCTGACGTGGGGAGGAGGGACTTTTCGAAGTTTTATAGGAAAGTTTCCGCTTTCCAGCCCCCCTTCCCCGTCCCCACCCCCCTTCCTCGGGGTCTAACAATTCGTCCTCCCAAACCATTCAAAAACGACCCGGCCCAGGCGGCCGGCCCCTCTGCCCGCCTCCTTGCTGCCCTCCCCCATCCCTCCTCGCCGCCCTCCCCCATCCCTCCCCGCCGCCCTCCGCCCGCGGGCGCGGGGCAATTTCCTTCCGCGTCGGAGCGCGCGGGCCGCGCCCCCGCACCCGAGCGCAGCCGGGGGAAGCGGCCGGAGGGGACCGTCCCGGCCGCGGTGTTGCTCCCTCCCAGAGTGGCTGTGACAGCAACGGCGGCAACAGCTTCTGCGCAGTGGGTGATGTCTCATCTCGCCCCAGTACCCTCTAGGTCCATGGGGCCGGTTTGGGATTGCTGGGGCGGGGAAAATGGCAAGAAAACTGGCAGCCGCGGAGCCCACCCAATAGTCAGGTAGACGGGCCCCTGGAGTGCCAAGGGCCAAACCACCGCGGCTGACCTTGAGGTCGTGGGCGTTTCTGAAGACGTGGCTGTGCGGCGGGGACTGTGGATCTGCGCTCCGGCCTGCTCTCTCACCTCTCCTCGAAAAGCATCTGGGCCTGCCTTATCCCTCCACAGTGACCCAATCTAACGCTTCCCAACAGCCAGAGGACTACACCTCCAAAGGTTCTAGAAAGAGGCAGAAGTTCATTCTCCTGCGGAAGGTAGTTCTTGTCCTTGGAGAAGGCAGCAGGGCCCGAGTGGGGCAGCGCGGCGTCTTCCCCGCGGTCCTGATCGCCTGAGCTGCCAGCCTAAGGTGGAGCCCTGTGGCCATTTGAGCCCCACCTCACTCCCAAATAAGGCCCTGTATTGTGACCTTTAAAGGTCAGCTCATAAGAGAGCGAGATGGGGGTTCGACACTGCCTGGACACACGGGGCTGCCAGCTGTGAGAACCCCCTCCCCACCCCCCATTCTTAGGCGGTCGAGTGGTCAATTACGCTTCATGCGCCCCAAACGCATTCCAATTAACTTGGACGCTTTTACGTTTAAGCATTTCTATGTAAGTTAACAAGGAACATCCCCAAAGAGGGTGTTAACGCCGATTTTAGCAAATTGGAAGCAACAAAAGTTGGTGAGCTGGTGAAGGGAAGGGAAGCCGCCGTGGAAAAGAAGACCATTTTTGCAATGCTAGACTTTTTTTCTTTTCTGGAACGAGTTGGGTTAAAATAACCGTTTCACGTTCATTCTTTACGTTGTAGAGCAAACCAGAGGTCAAAAGCAGTAGTCGGCTTTTGGGGGCAGATTTAGGGGGTGCCGAAGTACTGCTTGAGTGCCCTGCGCAGGCCGAGGTCCGCTCTCGCTCTCCCCAGTCTGGACTCGCCAGCGAGAATTAACTCAGCGAAGCTCCCCTTTCTGGGCCCGATCGAGGGTCGTGGCCGCGGGTGTGCCTAGAATGAGGCAGGAGCCCAGGCGACGCGCGGGCAGGCCACGTGGCTCTGCCCCGCTGAGGCTCGCAGCTTCAGTCCCGGATACCCGGGGTCTGGAGCGCCTGGGGTCGGCTGAGGGGCTCAGCCTTCTGGGGGAAGTGAGGGCAAGAGGCATCCCTCCCACAGCGGGCTAACAAGGCTGTGCTGTCATGAGAGGGGCGACTTGCAGAGTTTGTCTATCATCATTTTTACAAATATTCAGAAACAATGACCACAGCATGCCAACTGGCCTGCTTCGCAAGTGACTGCCATATTTTAAAATGAAAGCTTGACCTCCACTTAATAGCAGGCAGGCAGGTCTCCTTAAAGCGCGCTCGGATAAGTCACGTTTGTGTTTGCATCTTCTGCCTATGGGATTTTATCTCTTGCAAGCAGTTCGAGAATAAGGCAGAAATTCTGCCCCACTCTCTGCCGAGTGTTCCTTTTTGTAAATCTGAATGGCAGAGTATTCTGCAATTCTTACTTGAACGTTGCTGCAGAAATCTGGAAAAATTTCCACCTTTACCTATCTCGCTTTCTTTTTTTAAAGATCAATCTTAAATCTTAAGTTTGTTTCTTCCTTTTAGATGAATTCTCAAAAATAAAAAGATCGAATAATTGGACTCTTTCCTTTGTGGCTATGGGTAAGCAAGACAGGAAAGTGTGGGCAAAGTGTAAAGGAAACCTTACCTGACCAAGGGGAATTGGGGTTAGCTGGATGGAAGAGGGCGCGCACAAGCTGGAGGAGAAACCAAGTCCACAACAGCACTGCAGCCAGGGATCATTAGCCAGTCCAACTTGCAAAGTCATCAGTCTCCAAGTCTAGTTCTTAAACAAATAAGGCATCCCTCCAGGGCACTAAACTTCTAAAGGATGAAAAGCTTCTGGCCATTGGGTCCAGGGATCCCCAGGGCTGAGGCGATGCTCTGGATGCCAGAATGCTTAAAAGAGGGCTTAAAATGAATGACCTACCAGAACCATCCCGGCACGGGCAGGCGCGGAATCTTCCCGATGGAGTCACAGTAAATGACTTTGGTTCTGAGAAGAAATTTCTGTTGAACTCTGAAGGAGTGCAGCATGAGGATGATATGGGTTTTTGAGTGCTCAAATGGTCCTTTTTGAGCAGAAAGTTGTAGTTGGGCAAATGAATTACCTCTCCAAATGTCTGGGGCTTGATAGTCCCTGCTTTGCAAACTGCAACACTTCATGGTCAGTTGTCACACTCCGCTCATCTAGCTCATCTATAGCTGTATCCTACCTAACATTTTATCTAACAGTTTTCTTTTTCACTCTTGCTGGGGCAAGAATAAAGATGGGCTCCGTTTCTGTGTGCTGATGAGGCAACTATAATTCTGGATATCTTGTATATGCAGCAGTAATGATATCCTCCACTGGATTCAGTTTAACATCAGAAAGCTTACTTAGGTCTAAAATCCTAATTTCAGGCTCTTAAAAAACGGTCTTAAAATTTTCCCTCTGGGGCTGAACTCAGCCTGACTGGAAGGACATCACTGGAGTCCTACCTTCTTTGGAAATACTGGATTAATTGAAAGTGAATCATTTTTTCTACTTCTAACATAAATTCTCTGAAAAAAAATTTAACTGAAGACAAAAAAAGTTTTTCTTTTGCACTCGAATAATTCAACATGAGCTTTGTTTTCAAACTGCAAACTTGGCATGTTCACAGTCCTTCCTGAGGAATGTGTGCTGTGTTAAAAATTGAAAAAAAAAATACTGTTAGAAGTAACAGAGTTAGGAATCTCATACCGAGCATATGCAATAAGTGTGTATGTATCTGTATGCTTACAGTTTAAATACGCACTGGCATTCTCTTAGCAACAATCATTTCTAAATGCTTTTAGAGAAGGAAAAGACACACGTACACTATAGAATTCTTAGCAAGCTGGTAAAATTTGGAGTTGAGACTTGCAAAAAAGGTGAGTACTTTGAATCTGTTCCTACTCCTTCTCCGCAGTCTTTGGATGACCTACCACCTGTTTGTTGGCTTAGAGTTTTGTGGAATAATTTTTCAGAGTTGCGTGAATAAAACACAGGAGCATTCACACAGAAGGGGGCGCAAATGGGAAAAGGCTGGAGTTGAGTGGATCTCACACGAGACTGTGCATCTTAGATTTCATCTTTTTTGAAGCCTCCACAGGAATTGCCTAGTTTGAATTTCAATGAGAGAATTTCATCAAACTGGAATATAAAGTGTTTGTCAGCACAAGTGAGTCTGATAACTGTGTAAAAGCAGGTTCTTCCTCAGTGACACAAATAGCCTAGCTGTTGTTTGCACAGCTTGCCCTGAGTAAGAGGTCATTCTCTTTCTCTTTTAATGATAGTTTAGTTCATGGATTTAACTGATTCTGCCTTTCTCCTTCTGAATTTCTTTAAGAATAAGAAACTAAAATTATAAAATTTGAAGCTTTCAATCCAGAAATAAAATGAAAAAGTATAAAGCTCATGAAATTGAGTTGCCAAGAGCACCTCATATGAACAAATCAAACTTTCAAATAAATGTTAATTTTTAAAATATCTAACATTCTGCACTCGAAATGAGGATGAGATAAGGAGACATAACTTGCCGAGCTTGTAGGGAGAGAATAATCAGAGTATGGAAAAGTACGCAGTTGAAGAGACTTGTTATTTTCCATTTATTAGCTTAGCTGGGTGTGCAGCCTAGAGAGTTTGTGTCCCATCTTTGCTGCCAATTAACCTTGTTGAAGTACACTCTCACTTTACTTATTTCAAAGGGTTGCTGGAATAACTGAAGAAATAATGTGAGAAATACTTAGCTATTCATAGAGGCTTTTATCATGGCCACAATCTTCCTACATAGTAAGCATTTTTATCTCTTCAGTCATCTGATGATCAAGCAATTTAAATATAAATTGAATGATTTACATTCTGTGTTCTTCCAGCTAAGGTTCCCTTTCTGATTACTCACAACTCTCATCTCTCTTCATTTCAAGGGATTGTTTTTTTTCACAAATGGCTTTTCCTGAACCCTTAAGTCCTATTTCCATTGTTTGGATTGATTTCTTCCTGCAGAAAACATGTTGTTTTTGCCAGTGACCACAAGAGGACACAATTTCCTAGAGAACTTTTTTTAAAAAGAAGCTTAAAGAAGAGGAAAGCTAACAAAATAGCAAAAATACTACATAGTCACGGAATGTCATTTTGGGGATGTCAATTTGTGTCACTTTTATTAATTTTTTAAAAACAT